CTAACTCAGAAAATAAGAGTCCTGTGTTCAGGAAGAGACTCTGCCTCAACGGCATAGGTGGGAAATGGGCAAGGATCCTCGAACTGTCATGTGACTTCTGTATTAGTGTGCACAGGCACACATATCTAATCACATGCAAATGCACACACAATCACAATCACATAAAGAAATCTTTAAAGAAGCAAAATCCTTTTACCTTCAGGAGGGGCAATATAGGGTGCTTCTTCATATAATTTACTATATTTTAAAATTATTTAGACTCGTAATTATTTGTTAGTTATCTTGAAATGGCAAGCCTGTTTGTTAGCATTCTCTAGGAGGAAACTGGGTTGTTTATCGAATCAGTGTTAGGTAGCCGTTATTGTTTTTATTGTTTCCAAGGCTCACAGGACAGAGGGCTTCTCAGTGAAATGTTAAGGGCAAGGAAGAAAGAGCTTGGATAATTCTGAATTTGCAAATGTTAACAAACTCTAGCTACTTAAATATCCTCTGTTTAAAAAAAATTCAGGCTAGACCCAATATGTCAATGAAACTAAACCTATTTCAGTCTGGAGATGTGGCTCAGTAAGGTTACTTGCCCAGTATGTTTGGGAGTTCCATCAAAAGTACCACAACAAATAAGATAACATATAGCCACTTCCTTATTTACACATAAACTTAATTAAGCCCGGTGACATAAAAGGAAGCATCAACTCGGATTAATATCAGTTTCTCCCATACTCACAAAACACGGGTCACTTCTGTAATCCCCAAATGCAAGGATTTCTTCCAAGCAGAGAGCAGCAGTCAGTGGCATGGAAAACTGCGGTGTCCTTGAATTTAGTTACTTCAGACACTAGCTCTAAGCTTCAGGTTGAGGGCTCAGTCTCCAAGACCCACATGCTTCACTAAACTCAAGCTCGGCTTCTGACCATCTGCTATAAATGAATTCACAAGGTGCCCTCCTCAAGGTTGATTTACTTGAGTGGTTCCCAGAACCAAGGGAAGGAAATGCTTCTGTTCACTGGTTTCCCGAATGGAATGTTGCAAAAATTAAAGACAGATGTGTAAGGCAGGGTACCAGAGAGGAGGTCAAGCCTGCCCTCTCGGGTAGTTTTGGCTTGCAGGAAGCCTGTGTTCAGCTGCACAGATATTGTCCAAGCTGGGTTCTTCCACTTGGTCGGGAGGTACCATTGAGTAGGCACGGTTGCTAGTAGGCGGCTTGGGACGCTCAGGTCTGCCTTTCTCTTCAAATTCTCGTTGGTGTTCTTTCTTTGCTGGTATGGACAGCACAGGACACCTTCTAAATGAAGAGTCTCTTTGGGGCCTACTCTTGGGCAAGGATAAGTAAGGATTTCTTTATGGCCAGCTCTATGTCAGAGGTGTGGAAGAGGGTTATTTGTAATCTGCCTTAAAAACACATACGAAAATTTTCTTACATCTGTCATAATATATGATAAATATCACAGAGCTCCATCTGGGTAGGTATAATATTTCTTCATAAATCTACCAATAGGTTTGTTTTAGAAAATAATCTTTTACATTGGAAACGATTTTTTCCATTAAAATTTATAGGTGTTATATGCCTGATGATTATTAAAATGCTCTTTAAAAGGCTGTATCAACTGGAATTTCTTTGGGGAAAAAATAAAATATATATTAAAATGCACCATAGCTACAACATTCTGTGTTAATGCAGGTTTTGTTAGCAGACAGTTTGTATCTGTGTTCTTTGCTTATATCAAAGTCTTTGTTGTTTAGAAAGATAAAAGAAAACTATTTAAGCTATATCATAGTTACTTAAAATTCTTTATGACTGGAATTGATGTCATGACTTTTTAACTGTATGACCCAGCCATCTTTCGCTCAGTATTTTTGTTGCATGTACATGGCCTGCAAAGCAAGAATAAAAATTGTACCTGTTTTATAGTTAAAAAGATGCGTCAGAGACTGAGGCATACTGACACATGTCTTTAATCCCAGCACTGAAGTCAGAGGCAGGCAGATCTGTGTGAGTTCGCAGCCAATTTGATAGATACATGGCAAGTTCAGGACAGCCAGAACTACATAGAGAGACCGTCTCAAAAAAAAAAAAAAATCAAATTACGAAAACTATGACCATGTTTGGAACATAACTCAAAGTCAGCAATTACATGTTAAAGGCTCTTTAAGATGTTGTTAACATGTGGAGAAACCTAAACCAATGCTCCATTAGTCTGAACCTCACCTATTCTGAGAAAGCGAATCCAAGTGATTAACCTTGCTGCCAGTGAGCCTAATGAGGAAGACGGTCTGGGCGAGGTCTTCGCTGAGTACTGCTGCCACCCCATGGGCTCTGTCGAGTATGACATGTGTTCATACTTGGTCAAGTTCAGCTCAGGTACTTTGCAATCAGCAAAACATTGTTTCTTCTAAGCATTCTGTTCAAGATCCCAGCGATCTGTGACCTCAGTGATGACCTCATTGCATGTCAATAATAAACACTGTAACCCGTCAGCGTGTTTTATGACCCATGAGAAATACTTTATTTTAGCAAAAGAAATCTGCTGAATTATTTTTTAGGTAGTGTCAGGGGCTAGGAAAATGGCTCAGCGCTTACTAAACAAGCAGAGGATTAGAGTTCAGATTCCCTAGACCCATGAGTGGATGTGGTGACCACCTATAATCCCAGATTCAGGAAGACAGATACTGGATCCCCGGAGCAAGCTGGATGGAGAGGCTAGCCCTGTCGGTGTACTCTGTTTGATTGGGAGATGGATTGAGAAAGATTCCCAGCACCAACCTCAGGCTTTCCCACACAAGTCTATACACGTACACACACATACTATTTACACATGGAAAGAAGTAAAAAAAAAATTGTCTAATCTACATATAAACCACAGAAAAATATAAATGTAAAAGCCACATCATCCCTAGTAAATAGAATGAAAAGAACTACCGACACTAGAAATAACATGGATTTGTCACCGAGGCATCCGGCTAAGTGACAAGCAGAATATCAAATGCTCCGTTAGGGTGACTCCCCTTCAGGTGATACTCTGGAGTGTGCAGATGTGGTCTCCAGAGCTGGATGAAGAGCCCAGAAGTGGAGAGGAGTCTCTACAGCAGGCATAAAAGTAGAATTTAGTCATCATGGGAATCCCGTACCTTGATGTGGTGGTGTTGACACGCTTGTATGAATTTCCCCAAACTTCAAAGGCTGTGCTTCACCGTTAGAAGCGCATGCCTTGGTAGGTCTGTCTCAGAAGTGTCGTGTTAATGCTGGCCAGCATTTCTTTGGATATAGAGAATAATGTGTTCTCAGTTCTTCCTCTGAATTGGACTTATGTGTGTAAAAACAAAGTTTTAGAGAGATTCCTCACACAGCAATACATAAGGTAAGCTACAGACAAAAAATGCTGGGCTCAGAGGATATGGACACTCTTGGTGAGAGTGTGAGTTTGACGTGAGAGTTTCAGAACAGGGTGACCGTGGGAAAACTTAAAGAATTAATGTTTAAAATTTTGTATTTTTAATTTTATATTTGATAATTCTAATAAAATTATTTTGTTCCTTCCCATTGCTCCTCCCTCCAAGCCCTCCTACACACCCCTCCCTACTCTCCTTCCAATTCATGGCCTCTTTTTTCACTAATTGTTATTGCAAGCATATATGTATAGGTATAAAAATATATTCCTAAATCTGACTTGTTCAAGCCTTTTAATGTTTGTATATTTTCAGGTATGCCTGTTCATAGGACTTGGTTGTCCAAATTTCATGGACCATAGCCAGCTAGCTGAAAAGGGGTGGTACCAGGATGGGAGACTTTAGAGTTTGATCATCAGGCAGAGGTTCTTGAAAAATGTAACTCTAACATCTTATCAAAGTCATAGTAAATGCAAAACAGTATATATATATAACTATATAAACAAAACACTATAGTTGATGAAAGGAGTTAGAGATCTAACCAAAAAACAAAAAAGTTCCTATCATCATGAAACTAGCAAGGTTATACAAATAAATTTAAAGGTTAAATAACATTTATTTAAGGAAGGAGCAGTAAAAGTTAGAGTTAGTTAAAGGTCACGTGAGAGCTGGGCGTCATGGCGCACCCCTTTAGTCCCAGCACTTGGGAAGTAGAGGCAGGCGAATCTCTGTGAGTCAAGATCAGCATCATCTACAAAGCTAGTTCTAGCCCAGCCAGGTCTACACAATGAGACCCTGTCTCAAAAGAAAAAACATAGTCTGAGAGAGGTGAGAGGAGGCGTAACCGAAACAAGACAGCGATAAACCGAGAATCATACCTTAGCACTGGACCCGTAGTAATGCATGTTACTGGTTTTTCTGTTAATATTTATGTGCACATATTTCATACAATATATTTTAAATGCAAAATCTTTTTGGAGGAAGGCCCGCTTGTTGGTTCCCGGCAGCCCAGCAAGCTTAGACCTGAAATAATCACACAGGAACTGTATTAATTAAATCACTGCCTGGCCCATTAGCTCTAGCTTCTTATTGGCTAACTCTTACATCTTAATTTAATCCATCTCCATTAATTTGTGCATCACCATGAGGTGGTGGCCTACCAGCAAAATTCCAGCACATCTGTCTCCAGCGGCTCCATGGCTTCTCCCTGACTCCGCCTTTCTTCCTCCTAGCATATTTTTCTCTGCCTACCTAAGTTCTGCCTTGCTAGAGATCCAAAGCAGTTTCTTTATTTGTTAATGGTAATCACAGCACACAGAGGGGACTTCCATATCAAAATGTTACTTGCATAGTTACTAATAAGGCAGTGTGGTGCTGTATGCAAGAAGTAGGTAAGAGAGAAGAAAGTATGGTGCTGGGTACCAACGAAGATGGCAGGCGCAGATGTCACAGCAGTTCCCTTTGGATCAGATGACCCTGTCTGCTTGTGCTTGGATGTCCCTGAGACATTTGGGGAAACTGCTTTGATGGCGCTTTCTCATTAGGTGTTTGTTATTTAAAGAAAATGTCTAGCTTACTTTTCTTATGTGCAAATATCTGTTTGATATTTTTTTTAGGAGACTAATGAGCAGAAACTTCACAAAATAGCCAGTGAGCTTTTGCTTACAGAAAGAGCGTACGTCAGCCGGCTCAACCTCTTAGATCAGGTAACGGTTTGTGGCTACCCATCACTCCACCCTGGGAATGGGAATGGAAACATTTCAGGAACTGCAGTGCGGTCCTGACTGGTTTGGGTAGTGAAAGCTACCTGCTCTAAGGAAATATTTATGTTCACAGCCTCATTGATAAACTTGCTGACTCCATGATGTTTGCAGCTCATGACAGCATAGGTTTCTGTATGCAAGTCACAGAATGACTGTCCCATAATGTCAAACTTCATTCTTCCTTGACCTTTTATTGTGTTCTTGGGAGGCCATTTAACTGCAGAAATTTAAGTAGACTCAAGGGTTCCTTCAGTGGCGCAGCTGTCTTGGCACTGTGCCGTGCCACAGGCTTTGGAAACCCACTTGTTCAGCCTTGTATGGACCCTGGCTTGTCATCCAGTCAGTATTGGTTGCATCCCTGTGTCCGCTGTACCACAGTTTGCGCTTTAATTATGTTACAGCCTCGAGCATGGTTTCTTCCATACACTTAGAAAGCTTCTGAGTGCATCAGGCTGACTTCAGAATGCTCTGTGGCCCCACATTAGTAGGTCACCCACTACGGCAGGCATCTCTTGCTAAGAGAGGAAGTGGCCGTGTGTGAGGGTTTGTTGTTTTGTTCTCCTTTTGCCACTGGTAAACTGGGATGTCGTGGGAACGCACGGTCCTAGTGACCCCTTATCTCTGGCTTCCATGGTCAGCCATATACTGGTTGTTTGAGTTTGGTGAAACCTCTTTACATTTGTATTCTGTGCAACAGGGAAGTTGTAGTTCAGGTTATTGGTGTCAATGAACTTCACTCTGAGACCAAATCAAGCCTGGGGCATCTGAGCCTTTAAGATGGTTTTTCTTCCATATGGGAATGCGGTCTTGGAATGAGTAAGCGCTCCATGGTGAAAAGAGGTCTTTTCTTCTAGGCAATTTGTTAATTTTTTTTATGTCAACTTAATTTGACTACTTTTGCCAACGTTTTAGATGCCTTCATCTGTTAATTATATGGCGCCCCATCTGCTACTCTTTAAGGAGATAATTCTGTAGTGTGTTTTGCCTCGCAATAATAAAGTTCAGTTAGGTAAATTTAGAAAATTAATAATCATTTGGACATCATGAAGGAACAGAGACTTTCTTCTGCCTGGTTTTAAAATATGGCAGTTAAGAAGTAGTGTAGCCCTAGCAGAGTGTAGCTAGAAGTTCAAGACTCTTTTTTCTGTCGGTTATCTTCCAGGTACATGTTACAATGTACAGGAAATCCCTGAGCACACAGATTAGTGTCCAAGTTACCATGTATTATTGTCTATTTAAAAACAAATTAAAATATGAGAACTAAAAGTTTGTTGTTGTCGTTTTTGTTCTCTCATTGTTCAGATATTAAACATCACTTCTACTATGGGAAGTGAGTTCCCTATCCTCCCCTTTCAAGATACATAGAGTATTAGCAGGAAGTGAGCGATCTCTGCAACCACCACACCTTAGTTACCTTTCTGGTGCTGTGATACAACCCTGACAGAAACAAACTAAGGAGGGAAGAGTTCCTTTTGACTCACGGTTCAAGGCAAGGGCACGGCCCATCAGACAGGGAAGGCCAAGAGGACTGGAGCTTGATAAAACTGGTCACATGGTGTCGTCGTCTAGAAGCAGAGAGCGGCTACTGTGCGGTGCCGCTCAGCACCCCTCCCGACTGATTCCAAAACCCCAGCCAGGGAATGCCACCACCCAGATGGACAGGTTTCCCATCTCAGTTAATGCAGTCAAGATGATGACCCACAGACATGCCCAGGGCCTGCCAAGTTGACAGTTACCACCATCACACACAGTCAGAGCAGTGTATAATTGCTACAGATGTCATCCAAACATGGTAAGGGAACGCTATCACACTGTACACATAATCTTTCACATCCTTTAATTACAGCCATAGATGAGAGGTGTAAACCCCTGTCAGTTGGAAATTCTCTGGCACAGAAAAGCTCTATTAACTATGAACCTTACCATCATGTAGGAAAAAGTTAAATAAACACCACATGGGTGGGGGCAAAGTTTTAGTTAGAAATAAATCTCCCTAATTCACATTTAAAATTCTTCAAAATCAAAACATACATTTCCTCCTACCTTTCAAGGAGTGATTGATTTCTTAAGCCACAAACTTCCCCATTTATTCAACGAGGTGTTGTTTCGAGCCCAGTGCAGGCCTGCCACAGTGAAAATCAGTTTACCAAGAAATCTAAGTAACAGTTGCTTTATTCTCTCATTCAGGTATTTTATTGCAAACTGTTAGAAGAAGCAAACCGAGGCTCATTTCCTGCAGAGACAGTGAATAAAATCTTTTCTAACATTTCATCAATAAATGCCTTCCACAGTAAATTCCTGTTGCCGGAGCTGGAGAAGCGAATGCAAGAATGGTAAGAGGGAGAAGCAGGACCGCTGTGCCTGCGCCACGCATGCAGGGTGCTGCTCTTCAGCTTTCACAGCAGAGCAGATACGCCCCACGCTGCTAGTATGACAGTGGGTATAGTGCCAGATCTTCACATGGAAACGACTGGTAGATGCCGGACTGTATTCTTGGGTTTCCTGGAACAGGCGCCTGCGTCTGTTCTCTAAACGGTACCTGACGAGTGAAGACAGGACCAGGCGTGATCGGCAACTCCAAGAGTTCCGTCGCCTTTCTGCGATCCCTAAGCTCCCATCTGAAAGATGTGTTCTTACTAGTGTTAGAATAGATCATACAGAATGCCTGCTCTCTCTGCAGGCCTACTGATTTCCTCATTCTATCAGGAACTTTAATGACCTTTCTATATTTAATATAGGGAAACTACTCCCAGAATTGGAGATATTCTGCAAAAGTTGGCTCCATTCCTGAAGATGTACGGAGAGTATGTAAAAGGCTTTGATAATGCGGTGGAGCTGGTTAAGAACATGACAGAGCGTGTTCCCCAGTTCAAGGCGGTGACGGAGGAGATTCAGGTAATAGTCCACTTTTTTCCCTGCTCACAAGTTAATTTTTCCTGAGAAATTATATGGTCTTCAAGATCTCAAATTGAGACGAAAGTATTTTTCCGAGAAACTAAGCCAAAATCCAGTCTACTCTTAAATTCTGCAAAGACAGTATCTGCACAGTTAGATCAATTATTGAGTGTGTACCACCTGCTGAGTGCTTGAAAACACTCAATGTGCATTGCTTTTAAACTTTTTAGTTAAAATATACTTACAGCATTTTTATTTGAAATAATTACTCACAACATTTCTCCTTTCCCCTGCTATATTCCTCTTACTCCTTCTCAAATCTATTGCCACTTCTTTAACTGTCATTGTCGTGTGTGTGTGTGTGTGTGTAAATACATACGCACACCCCATACACATATACCACACACACACACGCCATACACACACCACACACACACATACACACGTGCACACACAGCACACGCATGCACACACCAAACTCACACACCTGACACACACCCCTACAGTCCCCCGATACACACCCCACACACATACACTGCACACACACATGTACACACACACACACCACATGTGCGCACACACCCTGCTCCATCCACCAAGTATTACTAGTTGACACATGTTTTCAAGGCTGACCACGTGGTACTGAAAAACCAATTATGGGCTCACTCCTGGAAAAGACCAAATCTGGCTCCCTCAGCAGCCATTAGTTGCCTATAGTTCTGTACCTAGACGTAGGCTCCGTACACTTACCAGTATCCACTTTAGCATGCCTATTGTTCAAGTCTTGTCGAGGTTTGATGGATGAAGCATCCCTGTCATTTCTAGGAGACTTGGTCTTCCAGAAGACTTTGTGATTCTCTGGCTCTTGAACTCATTCCACTCCCTTTTCAGCGATGTTCCCTTAGCCTTGACTAAGAGATTGTACTGTAGATAGAGCCACTGGGGCTGGGGCTCTACATCCGGTTCTGTAATGGTTTCCATCTGCTACAAAGAGATACTTCCTTGGTCATGGACAAGAGCTACACTTTTGTGTGGCTATGAGGGTAGGTATTCAGGATGTAGTTAGGATCTGGACTGCTTTAATAAGTGGCTGTAGTAGGTTCTCCTCCAAGATCCAAACAGCACTAGCCATGAGTATTGGCTACGTTTACACTTGGTAATTAGACCTAGGTCCAATCAGACAGCTATTGGTTATCTCCGAGACATGATCACCTCTATTGGACCTCTGAGGGCTTCCTACCATGCTAGTCATTTTTGTGGTTCGTGGGTATCACACCTGGGTAGGACTATTGAGAGCCTACCCACCCACATGAGATTGTAGGCTAGTCCATGGTGTACCATGTATTACCAGTGTAGTACCGTGAAGGCTAACCCACAGAGGGGAAGCCCTCAGGTCAGATCCATCCTGACTCCACTGAGTCCTGTGTCTGAAGTATGTGGTATCTTCAGCAATAAGGATCTATCCTCAAATTCAAGAAGGCAAGCAAAATCAGCAGCAATCGTCCATAAGGTTTGGAGTCTCTTGGACTCATCCAGCCTACAACTCGAAAGGAGGTTTCTCATGCCAGGTGCTGAAGGCTTTGGTAAATAGTATATTTACCAAATAGCTCTTGCAGGGAGCATTAGCATTCCATGTCATAACCTCATTAAAACTGTATGCATATATGTATACATATATTTTTAGGAAAATACAAAATATAATTCCTTATGAGTTTTCAAACTTCTTTAGTGTTGTCTCCCTTTTCTGTTGGTATCCTCCACTCTCTCTGTTAAAGCCCCCCCTACTTCCCCATGTCTCCCCTCACGTCTCTATCCTGCTATTCCGCTCTCCAGTACTGCTCTCCAACCCCATGGTCCCTTTTCACCTTCCTGACTTCTTCAGTTCTTGCAGTTATGTGCTCACATCTGGAGATGAGGAACTGGGAACCACAAGTGAGGGAGAACGTGTGGTGTTGGGTGTCTTCTGGGTCTGGGTTACATCACTCAATACAATCTTTTCTGCTTCCAACTGTTTACCTAAAAGTTTTATTTTTCTTTAGAGCTGAATGGTACTCCATTGTATAGATGTACGACATTCTCATTGTCCAGTCTTCAGCTGAAGAACATTTCAATTGTTTCTACTTCCTAGTTTTTGTGAATAGAATGCAGTGAATACTGCCAAAGCAGATATCTGTGGAGTGAGTGCTTTGGGCATATAACAAGGAACAGTATAGCTGGATCATATGGTAGATTTATTTTTAATTTTTAAAGAATTCTCCACACAGATTTTGAGAGTGGCTGCAGCAGTGTACAGTCCCACCAATAGTGAATGAGAGTGTCCATTTCCCTTCGTCTTCCCTAGCCTCTGCGATTCGTTATTTTGTTTATCTAAGGCATTCTGCTTGCTCAGTTCCATAATTACTAGGCACGATGAACATTTTTTGAGATGTTTATTTGTTGTCTTTATTTCTTCTTTAGAGAATGCGGCTTAGATCCCAGGCCTAATATTGAATCAGTTTTTTTCACAGTTCTTCATATAATCTGAATATTAACCCTCTATAAGATGTATACTTAGCAAAGATCATCTACCACTCTGTGGGCTCCCTTGTCATTGTATTGATTCCTAGCTGCACAGAAGTTTTTTTTAATTTTATAAAGGTCCAGTTTGTCAATTGTTGCCCTTAACCCATGATAAACATAAGTAGAAAAAATCTTCAATAGAATACTTATAAATGTATCAAGATTATTCACTGTGATCAAGGTGGTTTTATCTCAGGGATACTAGAATCTATCAACATACATGAATAAATCCCTAGGAATAAGTTTAACCAAGGAGATGAAAAACCTCCTCAGTCAAAACTTCAAATCTCTGAAGAAAGAGACTGAGAACAGAAAGACCTTTAATTCTTAATGGAAGGTAGAAGTAATATTTTGAAAATGACCATCATACCAAAAGCAATTTACAGATTACTACACTTCTCCCAATATTTTTCACAAAAACAAAAACTAAATTCTAATACTCATATGGAACCACAAAAGACCCCACAAGCTGAAGAAATCTAGAACAAAAAGAATAATTTAGGAGGAATCACTATTCCAGATTACAAGACACATTACAGACTATAGTAATAAAAACCATATGGTACTGGCAAAAACAGATATACTGAATAAAGTAGAATACCCAAAAATAAGAATGAGTATGTATAGCAATCTAATATGTAATAAATATACCTCTCTCTTCCTCCCCCCACCAAAAAAAAAAAAAGACACGGGAGGAAATACAGCATCTTCAACAAATGATGCTGGGGAAACTGGATATCCACATATATAAAAATGAAATTAAGACTCCTATCTCTCACCCTGCCCAATAATCATATTCAAATGAATCAGAGACCTCAGTGTGAAGCATTTTTCTGAAATTATAAAAGAAACATGGGTAGTACTCTAGAAGGTTTAGGTGTAAAAAAAAACATTTTGAATAGGGCTCTATTTGCTTTTGAAGCTAGCAAAAGTTGTTAGCCTTTTAGAATGTCTTAGTCACTGTTCTATTACTGGAAAGAGACTGCATGACCAAGGGAACTCTTAGGAAAAAAAGCACTTAAATAGGGGCTTGCTTAAGGTTTCAGAAGCTAAGTCCATTATTATCATGGCAGGGAGCATGGCAGCAGGTGTGGCTCTGCAGCAGTAGTGAGAGCTACATATTGATATGCAGGCTGAGAGAGAGACAGAGAGATGAGACAGAAAGAGACACACAGAGAGACAGAAACAGAAAGACTAGGCTTGGCATGGGCTTTTGAAACCCTAAAACCCACCCCCATTAACACATTTCCTCCAGCAGGGCCACACCTCCTAATCCCTCTAATTATTCAAAACAGTTCCACTCCCTGGTGACTAAGCATTCACACACATGAGCCTATAGAGGTCATTCTCATTCAAACCACCACATCTCACTCCCTGACCCCCATAGCCTTGGAGCCATACATAATGCAAAAATGCAGTCAGTTCAACTTCAGAAGTCCCCATAGTCTATGACAGTCTCAGCCCTGTTTAAAAGTCCATGGTCTCCTCTGTGTCTCATGGCAGTCTCTTAACTGTATCCCATTGTAAAATCAAAATCCAAAAGCAGATCACATACTTCCAACATATAATGACACAGAATATATATTACCGTTCCACAGGGGAGGAAAGGGAGCATAGTGAGGAAATGCTGGATCAAAGCGAGACTTAAAACCAGCAGGGAAAATTCCAAATTCTGCATCTCCAAGTCTGATGTCAAAGTGTTCTTCAGAACTCTAACTCCTTTTGGCTTTGTTGACTGCAACATGCTTCTCACTCATGGGCTGGTTCCACACCTGATGTGCAGCTTTCCTTAACAGGTACTCCATGACTCTGACATCTCTAATATCACAGGGTCTACAAACACAATCTAGGCTTTCTAGCAGTATTCCTTAGCCATGGAGAAAGATTCCATAGTCCTTCTCTTGTATCCTTGACTCTAAAACCAGAGACACATGGCCCAAACTTCCAAGTTCTGCTGCTTGTTGGAGCTGACACATGGCCCCCTCTTTCATTTACACTTACATAAGCTTTCTGTTATTGATGGGCGCCTTCCCTGCTTAAAATTTCCTTTAATTACTTTTTAAAAGTTATAAATTTAGCTGGATAGGGCTGAGGTCACCACTGCCTTTATTCCATTTATCAATAGGCTTTTCTTTAAATCTTTTATCTCCTTTAGCAATAGACTTAGCTCAATTACTCTTCCTGGTGCTCATTTTCGCTTCAAACTGTACATTTTGTATTTTTCTTTGTATAGCTTGCTTTTTTTATTATAGATTTGCATAAGAGTGGTTATTAATAACCACAACAGAGTCAATACTAAACCATTTGAAATCTTCTCTGCCAATGCCATTAGTCTTCAAAACTCTTCAGTTTAGCCTTAGGCAGACGTTTAGGACAAGGGCAATAAAACAACCACATTCTTTACCAAAATATTACAAGAATGGTCTCTAGGTCACTTAACC